TCACTCTAAAGTATTGACTAAAAAATTATTTAGTTCTTTTTATCATTAAATAAAAAAAGTAAAATATTTTTAAAATTAATGATAAAATGTTTAATATTTTTTTGAAATGTTGTTTAGCATTTAAATCATGGCTCCCATTACTAAAATACATGCTCGTGAAATACTAGATAGTAGAGGAAATCCCACAGTTGAAGTTGACCTGACAACATCATTAGGTATATTTTCTATATATTCTATATAATAATATTGCAATTTCTATATTTTCTTTATATTCTTTATATAAATCTGTGCATAACTGCTTTTGTGTGTGACTGTTTATTTCTGCAGATTTAGATCAGCAATGTATTAATATTTTGACTGTATTAGTATTATTAAAATATTGATTGTAGTCCATACAGCTGTCTGGATTTTAATATAATAGAGTACTAAAATGAGTATTTGATGCGTGATGTTGAGGTTGATGGTGTTCAAGTTGAGCGTGTTTAGGAACAATAAGTTGATCTAGACTTTTAATAATCAGATGTAAAGGAGCAAAGGAAACTCATTTTTTCTTCTTCATTTTTAACTTGTGATACAAGCAAACAAGATCTCTTAATGGAAATAATTAAAAATAACTTTTATGAAAACAATTTTGTTAGAAATTTTATGAAAATTACTGTTAGCTTTTATGAAACTGTTTAATCAGCTTTTAAGAATAATGGCAGCATTTAAATTGTTTTTAATTTAAAAGTTTACAAGTTGTTTTAGTTTGTTAATAATTGTATTCAATATGTCTTTCTGGTAGATTTATATAAAATTTAAAACTGTTATGACTGATGAAGTATTTAGGTTGTCTATGTATAAAAAGCAGTAAAAATAATAATCACCAGTTGTAATATAACAAATATGAAAAAAATACTTTAAAGCATAAAAAATACACTTTAAAAAAGCTGATTCTAAGAAAAAAGAAAATTATACTATTGGCAATAGAGATGTAATCCACGAGAAAATAATTGAATATTCAAATATTAAAAAATATTATTTATTGCCATGTATTTAGCTAACTTATTTAGTTTCTGGAAAATAACAATATCTGCGAGTATTTATTTATTTCAAAAAGATTACAAAAAACCTTCAGAGTGATAAATAATTAAAATTAAAGTGTCATTAACCTTTAGATAAATAAACTTTCCTGCTTTTATTTGAAAAGTTGACAACTCCATGAAAATGCTGCTAGTTGAAGTTAGCTCAGCTAATAGCAATTAAGATCACTACATTTAAAATCACAACATTTTAAAAGAAAAAATCCTATATTTACAGCTCTTAGTGGTATGACTACTAATTGTCTTTTTTTTTTCCCCATACAAGTTTTTTTGAAACATACAAGTTTTTTTTATATGTTTTGTGGATTTAGTAGACTAAATATATTATAAAAATATTTTTCACTTATTACTTATATCAATTTGTATAAAAAATTTTATAATTGAAATACAATAAATCAAAAAACAATATAAAAATGAAAAATATAAAGGAACCCAGTACTAATCATCCTCGGGAATCTTTTTGTGGTTAAAAGTTTTAAGGACCTCTAGTGAACAGGTTTTGCATGATATTAATGTGTATTGTGTCATAGGTTTAGCGATACATAAAAGTTTCTCTACTGTTGTAAATATTGTGTCATAACACCAGAGACATTTGTAAAACTTGTTATTTTTCAAGAAACATTTCTTAGCATGCAAAAGTATAGCTAAAATGGTAAAAAAAAAGTTTAAGTTAGTGTTGGTTAAAAAACCTTAATTTTCATGCTGATATACTTTAATTCTTTGCAACATTATGGAGGGAGTTTTTTATGAACATATAGATAGAATGTTACATAAAAAATGATTTTTATTAAAGACAAAAACAACATGGTTTTGTTATAAACAAAAACTGTATTGAAAATATCCCTAAAATTGGAGACATTATCATGGAAATTTGTTTACCACAATTATTTATTTGCCATAGTTTTCACAAATTAGCAAAAGCCTTTGACAAGCATCATAATTATCTTGTTCACATAATAAAAATTTTGATATTTTAAGGAGTTCTGCTTAACATTATTGTTGCTTACTAAATAAGAGAGTGTACAAATTGATGGCTATACATTGATAGGTTTACTTTTTTTTGTGGTTTATTATGTTCAACCCAGCAAGAAAAATTATCTCAAGCATTAAAACATCTTACATATGAGAAACGAATTCATAAACTTAAAAACTTATATGTGATTTAAGTAAGCAGTATGAAGTTTTGAACAAAATGAATAAATTTTATTCCCTAACCAACTATTCTTACCTAGTATAATATTATACAATTTACCTGGTCATAACAAGCATCTTGAGCTTTAAATTTAAAAAATTTAAAGAATGTTGCAACTCCTTTAAATATAGAGTTGTAACTAAATGGAAAACCCTTTTCACGAAACTTAGTTGATTTACTAAACTTAAACAAAAAAGTAATATAATGTAGTTTAATGCAGATCTTGATTCCCTCATTTGAGATTTTTTCCTTTTTTGTTTAGCACCAAAATTATTTGTGCAGCAATTAAGTATATCAGGGTGTAAACTAGCCCTGTGGGGTCCCGTCAAATGGGGTATTTCCAAATGCTCAAAAAATTCAAATTCTCAATTTAAAGGTGAAAAAATCCCATTCTCCAAATAAAGTTTTACAAATTAAAGTTAAATAACAGCTCTAAAAAATATTGAAAATTAATTATTTTCAAAGACTAATAGAAAAATAGTATAAATAACTTACCACACACTATTGCTTAACTTAACCCGCTGGGACAGGTTAAGCAGCTCCGGAAACTTTAAGCAATTAATTATGTAAAACTTGAAATAAAAACGTCATATTTGGTACAACTACACCATTGCATAACTGCAAAAATGTCTATTGAAAAAACTTTTTGAGAATTGGGATTTTCCCTGCAATTCTATGGATATTCTTGGCAAATTGCTTATAAAATTCATTTTTCAAAATTTGAAAATAATTTTTGGCAATGCATTCTAACAACAGTGAATATTATACAAAAAGGTTAGCAAGAAATAGAGTACAATCTAAAAAAATAACTAACTTGTTTATTTTAACGCCCGCAAATGCTATTTCTTTACAAGTTTTTCCCTTTTTGGCTAAAAAGTTAAGTAACTTAATAACTTACTGCAAACTCTACTTTAAGTAGTATATGTGCTTCGTCAACCAAAAATATTGAGAAGCCATTGAGATTTTCATTGATACGTCAGATACTTTCGAAATTTTTATCAATTACGGATTTAATGGTAAGTTTTTTATATTTTTTTCGTTTGGTATTTTATATCAAATGAATTACATAAACTCATTGACTAAAATCATTTTTACTTATCTACCATCTTTACTTGAATAACTTTTTAAAAAGACCATTGAAATGTAAGTTTAATACAAAAAATGTTTTATGATTATAATAAACTGCTACTTGAAATTTATTTAATGAGGAAAATAAATCTCTTTACTATACTGCTAGCTTTTAATTAAAACGTAATTTAAATGCATATATTAAAATGTAAATTAAGTACGTTTATTAACTGTATTATAACATTTTAATGGAGGAAATTATAAAAAAACACTATAAAATCTATTTTTTTTTAAATTTGTAACATATTTTTTAGATCTTCTGTTGCTCTCCTATCAAGTGAATCAAATGCTTAGCTTTCTTATTTTATTAAACTTTTTAGGTACTTTCCGTGCAGCTGTGCCTTCAGGTGCTAGTACTGGGATACATGAAGCACTAGAATTGCGTGACAAAGATCCGAAGCGATATCTAGGAAAAGGTGTGACTAAAGCAGTGGAAAATGTTAATGAGATAATTGCTCCATATTTAATTTCCAAGGTAAGTTTTATTAAGTTATTTTTATTTATTAAGTTTTTTTGTTGTTGTTGTAATTCACCTCCCAAGGCCAAGAAGGCTGCTACAATTGAGGAGGCTACTTTAGTTGTGGTTGCAACCATCTCTTAACTCTATAACTCTTAAACACAAATCTTTTTTCAGCCCCGGCTTCAGTTAAACTATAAGATTTAGCAGGAGTGGGGGGGGGGGGGAATTTTTTTTTTGTTAAATTCTATAATTTTATGCTTACATTTACTATTTATTAAATACTGGCATATATTTATATATTTCCAAACTCTAACTTAATTCCAACAAGATAACAAGCAACCACTATTAAGTTATGAGTTACTTTGAAATAGAGAATACTCAGGCTTGGATAGGAATGGTGTGCGATCGCACTCTGTAACTCACCACGCTAATATTTTTATTTCTTTATAACTTGACCACAGCTTTTTTGATGTTTTAATAATTTGAATGCAATAAAAAAAGTGTTACGTTATAAATATCTTTTAATCGTTGATCTTTTTTAAAGTTTTTTATTTAAGGCAAAGGCTTTAAATAAAACCATAAAATTAATTATAGTTATTGTTTACATAAACACTTGTGTAATTAATAAAAAACATTATAAATAAGTTTTTTTTATGTAGGGATTTATTTTTTTATGATAAATTTAAACGTTTGAAACTATTTTCTTATGTCTTCCAAAAATATTTTTAAACCATTATTTTTAGAAAGAATTTAGTTACTTTAATTTGTGAATAAGTTTAAAATCTTTTGTGACTACTAACTTTTACACATTTTATGTGAATTACACAAAAATAACTTTATTTACTTATATAAGTATGTATTTTGTTGATTTAATGAAAAAGTTTTAAAGCATTTTGTTATGTTCATACTATTAATTTTTATGATTAAAAATGTTTAAAATAAACATTTTATTTTTTGTAAACATTTTTTTTTTTTTTTTTTTTTTTTTTTTACAATTTTGTTAAAAATGAATGAGATTAAATCTTTTATAATAATTATTAAATTATAAAAAGATTTTAAATTATAAAAAAAAAAAAAAGCGCAAAGCGTTTATAAAATTTAAAAATATTATATAATACACTTTTTAATAAATTTAATAAAATTTGTTTTTTTATTAAACCAATCGTTAGTAGTAATTTATTACTTAATTTAAAAACATTTTGCATAACTTTAATAACGCTTAAAAAGATAAGTTTTAATAACGTTTATTTCATACGTAATTAAAAACGTAACAAAAAGTTTCGCTTCGAGTTTAAGTTTTTATTTTCATTTTAGTGCTTATATAATTTCTTTTTCGTTATGATTTTCTTTGCGAATTTGTTTTTCGTTTCTTTTTTTCGTTAGTTTTTTTTTTAAATTTTTTCCAAGTTTAAGTTTAGCTTAGCGTTTCTACATTCAAAACATTTCTGAAATTTTTAACTCATCAAAACATATAAACATTGTTTATTAAACAATCGTGGTCAAGTTGTTAAAAAGTAAAATCATTTGCGTGGTCAGCAATAGCGCTCGATCGCACGCTATTCCTGTCCAAGCCTGAATACTAGGAAATGGTTAACTAAAGCCTTGAAAGTTGTAGGTTGTATGTAAAAGAAAAACATGAAGGTGGCTAATAGTTATAAGGTTTTTTTATGTGTAAGGAAAAAAACTGGACTAATAAAAGTTTTTATAGCATGAAGGGACAGATACAGTAATAGGATGCAACTTGTTGAATAAGAAACAAGGAAAAATAAGTTTTGGTTTATCATAATGGAGATGATAAACCAAAACTTATTTTTGAGATGATAAACCAAAACTTATTTTTGCTTGTTTGAACATTAATCATGATTATAGAAAAAAGAAAGAAATGCAACCTTACAATAATGAAAGAGTGACTAAAGCTTGGCAGGTAAAGCAGGTCTAATTTATTATTGTTTTTTTATGTTTATTTATCTCCGCAAGGCTGAAAATGCTATAACCCTCTCTCAACTATAACTCTGAAACATGAATCTTAAAAACCAAGGCCGCTGTGCAAAGAAACATGTTGAGCGTGGTACTACCAGGGACATGGCGGGGATTGAACTCAGTATTTCTTGCTCATGACACAAGCGCTCTACCACTACACCGCAACCACATTACATTTACAATGTGCTTTTAGATTTTGTCTGAGAGTAAGAGATTTGTTATTCATCAATATAGGAATACCAACATTGTAATATTTTTTTGCAGTAAATGAGTTTTGTTATCTAGCTAAAATTGCAGATTTTAAGTCCAGAATTTAAATCCAAAAGCCACAGCAAGTTGATGATGGTAATGATGGTTATGATGATCATAATGATGTTTATATATGCATATGTATATACAAAATATAACATGAATTTGAATAAAAAAAAAAAAAACTTTAGGATGTATAAATGTTTATGCAACCCCAGTCATCTGGTCCCGGTTATACTTTATTAACCTTGGCCCTGGTCAAATGTCAACCCCAGTTGTTCATTACAGAGAAACAAATTGAGCGCTGTACTACCAGGGACGTGGTGGGGATTGAACTCAAAACTTCTGGTTTATTTGGCTAAAATGTTTAGTCTTATTACATCATTAATTTAGTCGTCTTACATTGTTTTTTGAATACATTATTTATCTGCTTGTTTTTGTATTATTGCATATTATTTTTTCAAAATTATTTTATAAAAATTGTAATTTTTTCAAAATTGTAGTGAGTTTTTAAATGTAGTCTTCAAAACATGGCTTTTGTTGCAAAAAAATTGCTTTTTATCATAGTATTGTTAAAATTTTTCTATAATCTGCGCTTTTTTAGTTTTTCATTAAGCTGGTAGTATTAAATGAAAAAATGATATAATTTAAAACTTTTTTGAATCAAGACACTATGATACTATCTTATATCCTACAAAATTTCATCAAAAATTTGTAATCTTTGTCTCCACAAAAAGTTTTAAATATTGTCATACAGAGGAGTATATTTATTGAGTAAAAGATATGAAAATGTGGGCATTCAAAGAAATTTTTGCTAATCTTATTCCACACCAAGGACTAAAAAATTATTTTGTTTTGTCAGAACTTGTTCTACCTTAATTTTTTTAAATTATGAATTACACTAAATTACTTATGAATGTTGACAAGCATTATACTCAGAATTCCATAAAAGTTTTTTTATGTAATATATTTTCATTATATATATATATATATATATATATATATATATATATATATATATATATATATATATATATATATATATATATATATATATATATATATATATATATATATATATATATATATATATTGTTATATATATATATTTTTTTTTTAATTAGATTAGATTTAAAAAATCAACAATATATGTTTATATATTGTTGATTTTTTTTATTCATTACACTATTAGCAAAGTACTCAATGTTATTATAAACATTTTGAAAAGGATTATATTGATGATCTAAGAGAAATTTCAACTGGTCACCTAGAATCAACTTTTATTAGACACAGTAATAAAGCACAAGTTATATAAAAAAAGTATAGGTATTATATAGATATATAGATTTTATAAATTATTTAAAAACTTTGGCATATAAAATTTCACAAAAAACACCTAAATAAAATTAAAACAATTCAAGTAAATATACAAACAAAAAATACTAATAAAGTTCTTTTTAAGACAATTAAAACCAAGTAAATAGTTTTAGCATAAAAAAACCTAAGAAAGTCAGAAAGCAATATACCTTATAAAAATTTTTTAAAAAATCAACAAAACACAATAGAGTTTTCAATAAACCTGAGCAGCCGTGGCGCAGTGGTAGCGCACTTGTCTTAGAAACATAAGATCCGTGGTTCAAACCCCACCTCTGGGCAAGTTTTGCGACATCGGTTAGGAAGGACACGTGAACTTCCTATTAAATGCTCTTCCGCGATGCGCTGTGATAAGACCGTAAGGACTTCTTGGAGCACCTTAATCAACTTGGAAAGAAAAAAAAAAACCATAACATTTTCATAGATACCTCATTCAAATTATGTTAACCAATCAAAAGTGTAAGAAAATAAATAACCCACATAACCTTAGGTCATCAAAAAAATTAAATAATATATGATAGTGGAAAAGCCGTTACATACAAACCATAAAAAATGTTACCCACAAAAATATTAAGATATAAACATGTAGTAAAAGATCTAAATACCGTTTTTCAGTTAAATACAATCAATTTTTAATAAAATATTTTTCCGGGAATTTCCGGAAAAATATTTTATTCTAGATTATCATAGAAAAAAAAATTTCCGGGATTTTCATAAAGTCAAATATTCATCTATGATAAAGCCTAAAATCTAAACTCAAACCTACACAGTTGCCACATATATACAACATACATATCTATATAAACATTCCAACCACAGAGTATATACTATAAGAATATATTACCTAAATAAGGATGAGTTCAAACAAAAAGAGTTATTATAAAATATCTATAAAAGAACATCAAACATGCAAAACAATGTAATAGGTTGTATGTGTATAGGTGTAATGTGTAAGTCTGTGGTGTTGAACTTGTCTATTATATAGATATATAGATATTATAAATTACATTATATTTAAATGTTATAAATTATAACATATATCTACATAAATAATAACATATATCTATATAGTGCGTTCATAGTTAAAATTTTTAAAAAGATAAAAGCATAAAAATGTTAAAAAACCTAAATATACTTAAAAATATAAATAAATTGAATATTTACACTTTTATGTTTAATTTCTTTTGATATAAAAATGTCATTTTAAATCTCATTTAAAAGTAAAAGTTAATTATAATTTAATTAAATCCTTAATAATTTAGTAAACATCACTTTTATGATGATCTTCAGAGTATTTTAGATATTCTGTGCTTCAGCGCTATCAAAATAATATTAGTTATCCTTAAATACCTTTTTAATCAGTCATTAACTAGGGCAAGAAGCATCAATAATAAGATTATACAATTGTTTTATTTTATTTTATTTTAAAATATGTATTATTAAATAAAAAATGCCTAAATTTAGACTTTTAAATGTTGATTTGAAACGTGATTCGAATCGCAAATCAAGACCTGCTTTGATTCGAGATTCGATTAAAAAAAAACTGGCGATTCACAGAACCCTTATTTTATTACATTGTTTTTGGTTATTTTTTTACATTGTTTTTGGTTTTGTTTAAATTGGCAATTTATCTAGTGAGTTTCCTAAGTAAACAAAATAATGGCAGCTATTTTTTAGTAATAAGGCTAAATAACTGTACCATTATTTAGTCGTATTATTAAAATATCTAGATTTATGTAATTATTTTAATAACTATGTATTTAAAGATTGATAGATTATAAATATTTGTAAATCTTTGCTCACGAAAAAAAATGTGTGATATATGGAACACCCTGAGCTGTAAAGAAGTGATGAAAAATTATTTATAAAGTACTTATAAAGAGAAAGTGTTTATTAGTGTTACAAAAACAACGTTACTAAAGTTTATAATGTTAAATATTAGTTTCAACGTATTTGTGGTTCCTAAAATGAATGAATCCATAATACTTTCAAATATAAATAAAATGCTTTATTTGTTTATTCGTATATATAGAAAAAATATTTAGCTACTTTTTAAATAGCAGTAGTACATACAATAAGAGCAATTTTATAAAAACTCACGCAATATAATTAAAAGCGTTGCGATTTTTGTTTATGAACAAACAATTAATCGTTCTTAATTAACAAAAATTTTATCAATATGAATATTTTTCTATAATTTAAAATTGAACACATTTATTTCTCATAATAATCACTGGATAACTTAAATATTTTTATCTATATAATGACTGATATAATAAGTGATTTAAGTGATGTAACAATCAATTATTTTTTATAATATCATCTTAGTTTTGAGGCAAAAATTACGAACAGCTGCATTTTATTATGCAAAATAATAATATATATGTGCTTGAAGTCCAACAGGTCCAATCAGAGATTTGTAAAGAATTTAACTTGTGGAATAAAAAAATAAAGCAAATGAATATCTTTTGTGAATCATTTTCAGAATGTAATAGCCTCTGGGGCCAGCACGCCACTGATGTTGAAGCATATTATATATGATGTAAACTATATCTTCATATTTTACACATCTTTTGTTTCACTTGATGGTAAAATCAATAGTTGCCTTTTATATACTAAATTAAAGTTCTTATTTTATTATTATCTGATGGTAATTAAAATCTTCTTTGAACTGTTTTTTATTTGTTTTTTCTTAATTTTTTCATTAAACTTTTTTTTAAAATTTTTTTAAAAAACCTTAAAATTTTGAAGTCATTGCATTGAATTAAACTATAATTATCATTAGTACATTTTTTTTATCTAGTTATCAAATAAAGATTTGCATATTATTGTGGCATTTTATAAAATCTTTCCAAGTCTTCTAGTATATAATTAATATAAATAATTTAAAATGATTTAGTGAATAAGAGGTGTACACTCAGAATGCGAAACTTTTTTATAAAAAGTTTCGCATTCTAGTCATTTCTTGCATATTCTAATCATTTTTCATTATAGGACTAAGTGTAAACTAGAAACCATTTGTGTAAATAAAAGTAATATTGTAAACTATTGATAGTATTAACTTTTCTACTTTCATTTAAAGCACATTCTGGTAATTTAGCTTTTTCAATAGAATTTAGCGCTTATTTTATTAAAAAATTAAGTGCTCTTTTTTACAACAGCAAAGTATTAAAAAATATAAAAAAATAATTTATGAATACTTTAAAACTTTTTTAAACCATTAAAAAGTTTTTAATGTGTTGTAATTATTAAGATTATTATTTATTACAGTAGCCTAAAACTATTGCTATTTTAAAAGTATTTTTAAGTATTACCTTAATTAAATTTAATTTTAAACCGCATTAAAATTTATTTAAACTAATTTAACAAAAATTACTAATAGAGTATAAATTCAGTATTTGAAAAATGCAGAATTTAGATTTTTATTGCCCTATAATTTATTTCTTAAAACAATCTTATACTGGACATAATCTTTTGTTTGTTTATCACAATTTATGTATTCATTTTAACATATTTAATGTAGTATTTTTAACAAAGATTATAAACAATTTATAGAGTCATTCCATATGAAATCATCCAGACCATGACACCCTTATGTCCCAGAATTTGTTCATTTTTACAGTTCATATTAAAAAAATAATAATTGTGAAAATTCTAGTTAATCATAGGATAGTTAAGGAGGTGTGCTTTCTAGAGTTTTTAAAATTGGAACCACTTAATTAGCACTTATTAAAAGTTTAGCAAGAATTAAAGAGAGTTAAGTTACTTGAACTACAAACATAGATGAGTTTAATTAAAAATTGGCTTAAGCATCAGAAGTTGAAGTAATGTCTAACAATATGTCTATGATGTCTAACAATAAGTTAAATTGTTAAAAGGGTGTAGTAATTTAAAGTCTTTTAAATTAAAATGTTTTTATGTTGTATGTGTAAAAAGTGTTCTACAGAACTCTTTTGTAAGAGTCTTGAAGAAAATTTTTAAAAACTCTAGACATAGCTCTGAACCATTTAACCATTTCTTCTTGCTATTATTAGTAAGGTCTTGCTAATAAAGCAATACTTTCCTAATAATACTACTGACTTGATAGCTGCTATAGCAGAAAGGTTCGTTTCTGGAAAAAAAAGAAAAAAACAAGGGGTAGGGAGTATTATTCTTGAGGTATCAACAGCTTTTGTGTCTAGTTTAATGTCTGGCATACTTATTTTTCCATAAGTTCTCTTTATATAGTGTATACAATAAAGTTTTTAAAGTTGTTTAATTATTTCTTTTTAATCACAGTATTTACCTAATTAATTTTCAATTTTAGTAACTTCTGGGATGCCGCCATCTTCCAACTTTAGTCTTGTATTTGCATTTGTCTCAATTTGTTTTGCATTTTTCTCAATGATCTGTTTAATAATCAAACCTCAAAATGCTGACATTTAACACAAAAAATCTCAGTTTACTTTTAATGGTTATTGCAATGTTGTATATTGATAAATGTACACCATTGCATTTATAATATTTTTGCTGAGTCTTTCACATGATCATTCACTACTGGCCTTTCAAGAATATAGTTAACCCAATTCACCCAATTCATTTCGCAGTTACCATCAATACATTGCAAAGTAATCCTGATTTCATTCGCTACCTGAACAACTTCTTATTTGTTCTGGTATGGAATATTGTTGTTGTATATAGCCAGGTTTTATTAATGACCACCTTTCTCATTTCAAGGTCTAAAAATGCTTTGTAAAGTTGTACTAGGTTTTTATTAATTTTATTAATGATCACCTTTCTCATTTCAAGGTCTAAAAATGCTTTGTAAAGTTGTACCAGGTTTTATTAATTTTATTAATGGTCACCTTTCTCATTTCAAGGTCTAAAAATGCTTTGTAAAGTTGTACCAGGTTTTATTAATGATCACCTTTCTCATCACAAGGTCTAAAAATGCTTTGTAAAGTTGTACTAAGTTTAACTATTAGGCTTGAGGCTGGGTCACATAATGTTTCAGTTTTGATGGGGCAAAAAAATAAAGTATTTATTGTTTATGATAAAGCTTACAACTTGGTTTTTTTAGTTTTTTTTAGCTTTTTTTTAATGGCATAACTGTAACATAACATTAACACATTCCTTAATAAATATAGAGAATGTGTTGTTGTTATGTTTACGGCTTTGTAGTTATTATTGCTAATTGATATATTGTTTTATATCGAGAGTGGAGTTCAATAAAAGCATTTTAATGAACTAAATCCTTGTTAATTTATTATAGAGTATCTAGTTTGAGTTTTTTTTTTAGTTTGGCAATTTAGTTACTTAGTAATTACATTTTCAAAGGTTTCTAACTAAATTGCCAGTTTTTTTTTTTTTTTTTTTTTTTTACATTTGTATCAAACATTTCGCTGAACAAAAATGTTAATGTACACTGCAATTGATGTTTGAACTTAGAAGCACTATTTTTGATAATATACTTAAAAACAAAATTTTGTTTTATTACAAAAACATACATTCTTATTATAACTATTTACTTTGGTCATTTTTAGAATATTGACTGCACAAATCAAAAAGAAGTCGATCAATTGATGATTGAATTAGATGGGACTCCTAATAAATCTAAGCTTGGTGCAAATGCTATTCTTGGTGTCTCCTTAGCAGTCTGTAAAGCAGGTGCTGCACAGAAAGGAATTCCTTTGTATAAACACCTTGCAGATCTTGCTGGAAATAAAGATCTCATATTACCAGTTCCAGTAAGTGTTATATTTTTACATAGATTTTTAATTTTAAAAAATTTAAAAACACAAGAAACACAAAAAAACAATTTTTTAAAAACTTAATTTGCTCTACTTTTATTTGTATTCTTTCTTTTTTCTTTTCTTTCTTTTTTTTTTCTTTTCTTTTTTTATTTTTTTTATTTCTATTTTAACAATAATAAGTTTAATATTTTTTAAATTAGGACTTAAATTTTTATTACTTGTGCGTCCACAATTTAATCCACAGTAGAAATTAATATTATTCCATAAAAACTTCTTTATAAAATAAGTTATTTCATTAAATTTCAATTAAACATTACATTCAATTTAATGATTATGTATTAATAAATGAATTATCAATATTTATATATACATTATGAATTTTTTTTATTATTTTTATTTTAATTCACCTCCTCAAGGCCGAGAAGGCCACTACAGACGAGGAGGCTACTTATTTGTGGCTTTTATTTTACCAAGCATAGTTGTTCGTCGTTATGCTGGACATTTAATTGCTCTTAAAACAAATATGTAAATGATCAAAAGTTACCTAAATTTTTTTTTTTTTTTTTTTTTTTTTTTTTTTTTTTTTGTTATTCACCTCCTCGAGGGCGAGAAGACCACTACAGACGAGTAGGCTACTTAATAGTAGTTATAACCCTCACTCAACTCTATAACTCGGAAACACGAACCTTGACGAACAAGGTCGCTGCGCGGAGAAACAAGTTGAGCGCGGTACTACCAGGGCTGTGGTGGGGATGGAACACGGAACCTCTTATTTATGAAGCGAGTGTTTTACCACTACACCACTACTGCAAACAAGCCTTCCCAGGAAAGGCATGCGGTTTTCTTTCTCGTACAACCACGAAAACGTTTTTCAAGTTAGAGAACATGACCACGTCCGTTTGCGCAAGTTATATTATACGCTTTACTGTAAAATTGTTTTAAATTTATAAACTGCATAAGAAATTAAAGTAAACTTAAATAGAAAATAATAATAATAGTTTAAATAATTTGTTTGTTGTTTTTATTTTTGTTTTTTCTTAGTGGTTATTATTACTTGCAACAAAATTCATTAAGTCAAAGAAAGGAGAAAAAAAAAAAACGGTTTTAGGCGTTAAAAAGGATGACTTTTCCATATTTTATATGTTTTTTCTTTTAAAGAGAAAATATGTATTGTCATCTGTTTGTAAAATGTATTTGTATAATTATAATGTAACAAGTTTATATCAAGAGTTAAATTATACGATTGCGTTTGCAAACTCTGGTAAAATATTAGATCTTTAAATTTTAGTTCATGCAAAGCTGTGTACTTTGTTTATAAGGAGCAAGTTATTAAAAGTTTGCTAGCGAGAAGTTACGAAACAAAAACAATAAACTTACAACTACAAAAATAATAACACTTTAGTCACTAACTGCATTATAAAAGTAATAAAACTATAATAGTGTTATTACATTTACGTAGCACTTATTACTTTAAAAGTTCATTCTTTGTTTAAACAACATTATTAATTCCAAACATTTATTAAAGTTGAAAAGCATCTTGAAAAAATAAAACGGATATTCAAATATTATTAAAAAATTCAGGAACTTTCACATATCACTTAAACAATGTTGTAAAAAAGTACTTTATAAAAAGTATAGCATTATGAAAAATGCTATGTAAAAACGCGCGTTAATTTTAAAATCAACCAATAAAAAATTTTTATTAGTTAATTTTAAAATTAACGCGCGTTTTTACGGTCTATATATGCCAAACTTTTAATACGACACATTTTTCGCAAAGTTGTCTGTCACGATTTTATAAGTTACTTTAGGTTTGATATTATTTGAACATCCACTTTATTCTTCTAGATATTTTTCTACTTCAATTAAAATTTGGGAATACTAATGTTGCTTGAACAAAGAATGGATTTTAAAAGTTATAAGTGCGTTATAAAAGTAATAACACTATTATAGTGTTATTACTTTTGTAATGCAGTTAGTGACTAGAATGTTCTTACTTTTGTAATCGTAAGTTTATTTTTTTATTTTTTATTTTTTTGCTAACAAATTTATGTTGATTCTCCCCTTATAAACAAGGAACACGGTTTTGTATAAACTAAAATTTTTAATGCTAGATATTTTTCCAGATTTTGCGCTTAATTCAATCTATGTAGCACTGTGTGCCATAAAGACCGCCAGGTTCAACTTCTCCCCACCTCTAATTTTTTTTCATATAAAGATAAATGCTGCTTAAAGATGTTATTTTTTTGTATTGGTTAAATTTAAAGTAGATCAGAAGTACCAAAAAAACTTAATTTTTTAACCCTGTTTAAAAGCAATAGTTACCGCCTTAAAGCAATAGTTACCTTACCTTAAAGCAATAGTTACCGCCTTAAAGGATATAATAATCCCTAAAAAAAATTTTAATTTTTAAAAATCTTAACTTAAAATGATTTAAACTTCTAATACACCATAGTCCCTTATAGTAATAAGAAGGAAAAAAAACAAATGCAATAAAAAGATTAACACAACTACTTATATATTATAATATTTACAACTTATCTAAGCAAAAAGTGGCTGTAGCAGATTTTAATCGTTTACCATAATCTGTATGCCCAATCCTTCGCTTATATCGAGACCAACTTGGTTTAAAGGCACTGTGAACAGCCTCTCCAGTCTGTTCGGCATATGATCCTAGAGAACAAGAATTGAATTTCACAAATGGGAGAATATGGCAAGCAACTATATGCACTTTCCATGTAACATTCAGCTCTGCATTTAAATGTATTTTTGCATACTGCTGTAGGTCAAAAAATGATATCTTGAACTCTTCAATAACTGAAGAAACATTGCTGCCTAATTCTTGTCCAAATGTGCACTCTTTAACCTTTGAAAATTTTCTGAGGCAATGAACAATAGGTATTAAATTAGTTTGAGATGCTAAAACATCTCTTTCTAAAATATCTACTTTTTCTAGAAGTTTTGTGGCATTATTGCCATCAAAGCCTATCCCATGATAACCTCTGAGTAAAATATAATGTTCTTTGAGCCAATTTGTAAACAGAGGCCAATGATCTAAAATTAGTCTACCAAGTATCGTTACAATCCCCATAAGAAGATGTAATTCTGGTGGTGGAACTATGTGATTAATTTCATCTTCAGGATTTTTATCAAAATAAACAAGACAAGGACTAATCACATTTTTAAAATCTTTCATCTGCAATCGCTTTGCCCCATTTTCAACAAATAACTTGTACCAATGATCAAGAGAACCTAACGTTCTGGGAGTACCACTTTCTAGGGAACATTCACCTTCACACCACAAGCAGGCATATTTACTGGAATGAGAAGATAAACCGAAGATGCTGTTAGCACATTTTAAGTCAAATGCAAGGTAATACGTAACGTCACTTAGATTTAATCTACTCAAGGTTTTATGCAGATTTCCATTGTCTTCAGAAACATCTACAACAATAGCAAGAATAAAACACTTCTTAACTCCACTGTCAATATACATCTCATTTTTATTGGCCTTATCAAAGACATTTATCATTACTTTAAGAAATCCTTGACCTCCATCAATGGATATACGTACCATACTGGAGAGAGGATCCAAGCTTCTTTCCGTTAAAATACTAAGAATAAATTCAGAAGTGTCATGAATAAATACTATATCTCTTGTGACAGTTTCATCAATCCAAATAAAATTATCTTGTTCTATTTTATATTTAGATTCAATTTCTTGTTGTAATGATGACATCATGCTAACTACATTGTTCTCAACAACAGTAGATGATCCCAGATTCTTACGCAGACTAGATATCAATTTTTTTGTTTGATTTTTTGTCAATTCCAGTATAGAAATTAATTCCATCACAGTTTGGAATGATATCTGATTGAAAGATTTTCTTGAAGATTTATTGTCTTTAGTTCCAACAGTTAAAGATAATGGATTCCCACCTTATAAAAAAACAATATTTAAATTATATATTTTTTTAAACTTATCCTTAACTTAAGTTACAATGCAAATGTTTCCAAAAGTTGTTAGCAATCAAAATAATTGCTTAACAATAAGCCTTATATCTATTGAGCATTTTATATGTGCTTTTAAGTTCTATATGAACATATTAATTTTTTTTTCAACAATTTTATAATGAAAATAAAAACTTACATACCTGTAGATATTTTAAAAGACTGGCCTCTCTCAATGGCTTCTCGCTCCATCTTGTTTTTAATTATGCCTGAAGCAACTAGCTCGCATGATGTGGGACCAAGGTTTTCTGACAAATTAATTAGGTTCAAAACAGCCTGACTAAAACAACTGTTGTTATGATCTCCTGAATAATAAAATTAGCTCTTAAATTAATATACACTTATTAACCTTAAAGAAAATTTTTTTTTCATTGAAGTTTATAAATGAATATTTGACAACTTTTGATTTACTTATCAAGTAATTTAATCTTTATTCATAAACCTTTTGCAAGGAGAGAAAAGCAGCAACTTCATATATTATCCTTTAGATGTCCTACAGCTTGTGTTTTAACATGAGATGATTAAATAATATCACTAAGTTCAGTACTGCGTCTGATTTTTAGTCTGTCAACCTTATTCAAAAATATAAACTTTATTAAAAATTTCTATTATTTATGTATTAATGATTTAACTTGAATAAATTATAAACTATATACTTGAGAAACTTTACTCATCCAGTTTGACAGATAAGTGCTTGATCCTTTCTTCAGCAAAAAGATGTTTTTTCTACAATTTGAACAAATTACGTCAGGGCAGACAGTAAATTCTTCATTGTACTCAGGCCAAATATACTCCTTGATTTTATTTGCTATGGATGGTTGTACTTTTGATAGTGATTTTGAATATTCGCCTTTTTTTTCCAAACAAACTGCACAAACAGATTGTTTCAAATCAGCCATTTTTACCGCTTTTTTATCTTTATCTTCAAAATTATTTGAAAAAAAAAGAAGCCAAAAATGGTGGATTACCTCGTTTTTAAAGATAAATTTTTAGTCTTTTTTACTGTTTTAAAACTTAAATTACAAACTCTTCTGATCAACTTCAGATTTTATTTGCACTTAAAATACACTTATACAAACTAAATTTACTTAAAAAAAAAAAAAATTAGAGGTGGTGAGAATTCGAACTTGAAGGACTTTATGGCTCACTGTGGTTGTTACATTAAAATTATAAAAATAAATTTTACAAACACATTGCAATTTTTATTTTTGCTATCCTCTTTAAATTAAAAAAAGTTAAAAAAAGGAAAATCATTCTTATTATTGTAGACTTCAAACTATTTTTTTTTGCTTCGCCTTATCTAATTTTGTTGCTGAATGTAACTCTAAAGAAACAAAAATAAAAACAGTACACAAATTATTTAAATTATTAATTTGTTTTTATTTTTTTCTATTTCAATCTCTTTTTATTTTGTTAGTTTTGCTTTTTTTTTTGTTTTTGAAACTTTTTCAACATTATTTTAAAACTTGCAAACGGCCGTATTCGCGTTTTCTAAAATAGTGTAATCGCGTGTGGTCATACGAGAAAAAAAACCGCACGCCTTTCCTGGGAAGGCTTTCGCAAATGTTTTAAATATTTAGATGTAAAAACATTTAAATTAAATTTAAACAGTATACCAAGCTGCGTTGTTGCTGCAGTATACTAAATGCTCTAAAACTCTTGACGCAGGTCTCTGGAGTACAAAAACTTATATTTAGATGTCTCTAAATATAAATTTCTGTGTGCATGAAGGAGTTCCTTCTTGCGTTTCTGATTTTGGATGTTATTTTTGATTTTGGCTGAAGTTAAAAAACTTCAGCCGAAATCAGTTTATTTGAGCTCACCCAGCATTAAAACCTTTGATTTTTCAGGATTTTTCCAAATCCATTTTCAGCATCTAAAATTTGTGGTTTTCAGAACTCTATATAATTTTTCAAATTTGCATGCACTCAAAAACTTATTTTTCTCATCAAAATTTGTTAACTGATTTTAATTGGAATTATGAAAAACTTACAAACATTTTATTTCTAATTCTTAAAAAAAAAGACATTTTTTTAAGAATTTTTTTAATGATTTTTTAAGGCCTTCAACGTTATTAATGGAGGATCTCATGCTGGCAACAAACTTGCAATGCAGGAGTTTATGATTTTACCAACAGGTGTTTCGACTTTTAAAGAAGCATTACAAGCTGGTGCTGAAGTTTATCATACTTTAAAAGCTGTAATCAATAAAAAATATGGACAAGACGGTATAATTTTATTTTGCATAAAGTAACTTGAAAGAGTTTTGTTACATTAAAATTTTGATCAATTTTTTTTATAGCAACAAATGTTGGAGACGAGGGAGGATTCGCACCAAATATTCAAGACAACATGGAAGGTTTAGAACTTTTAAAGGTAGCAATTGAAAAGGCTGGTTATACTGGAAAAGTTGAAATCGGCATGGATGTTGCAGCATCTGGTATTTATTTTTATCAGTTGCATTTACTTTTTCGATTAATATTTATTGTAATTTTATGTTTAATGTTTGTTTTTTTGTAATGTTATTAATGTTTTTGTTTTTTTTTATGTTTTTTCTTTGTCTGTAGCATAGCTTAATAAATGTGTTATGTTATTTAAAAAATTACATTTTAGAGTTTTACAATGATGCTAAGTATGATCTTGATTTCAAGTCAAGTACCAAAGATCCAAGTAAAGTTCTCAGTGGAGAAGAGCTTGGTGAACTTTACAAAAAGTTTATAGCAGAATATCCTATTGTTTCAATTGAAGATGTTTTTGATCAGGATGACTGGGAATCGTGGAGCAGATTAACAGGTTTTATTATTTTTCTGTATTTAAGTTTATTTAAAAATATTTAAAACTAATTGTTTGACAAAAAATTTTGTGTAAACCTACAAATTTTTTGTTATTATTATTTTTTTTACTTGAAAAAAACTTAGGCTCTGTTGGCATTCAAATTGTTGGAGATGATTTAACTGTCACAAATCCACTTCGAATACAAATGGCAGTGGAAAAGAAAGCATGTAATGCTTTGCTGCTAAAAGTAAATCAGATTGGAAGTGTAACAGAATCAATTGAAGCGTAAGCTTTTGAAAATATTTGACTTTTTTTTAGTATTATTATTTATAAATATTGTTCATTAAAACTATAATGGTTCATGATGATCATGAAAACTATGATGATTTGTTTTTAGATGTAAGTTAGCACAAAAAAATGGATGGGGAGTGATGGTCAGCCATCGCAGTGGTGAAACTGAAGACACTTTTATTGCAGACTTAGTTGTTGGTTTATGTGCTGGACAGGTTTATTTATTTTTTTTATTATTTTTTAATTTTTTTTTATATTTATCAAATTTATTTTGCTTGTTAAGTTATTGTCAAGAATTGTCAAAAATTAACAAAAAATTAAGAAACAACTAATAAGTTTATTAAAACTTATTTTAAACACTAAAAAAAAATCATTGTTAAAATTACATGATTGTTTATAATTATATTATAAGTATGGTACAGGTAGTTTTTAATCCTACTATGCAATTTTATATTTGATCAGTTGCACAACATAATTGATAAAAACAAATATAATTTTTTTTTTTTGTATTTATTGTACTAGGATTAAAATAGGGTTTAAGTAAATATAAAAAAGGTTAATTTTTGTTTGTTTCAAATATAGCATTAAAATTTATTTTAAAAAGTTAACAAGTTTTTTTAAACATTTTGATTAAGGTTTACTTTATAAGAGATTTTTAAATATGTTTGTAACTGAAAATAAATCAATTAAAATGAATTATATGTGAATAACTTCAAATACAACTTTTTGAAGCCGAATTTTTTTAAAATCCAGTTTTGTTTTATTGTGAATAGAATACATTCAAGATGTTCCCATAGAACACTTTATTAGAAAACTGTTTTTGAAGCACTCTAAATGAATTTTGATTCAAGGATACACGTGCAACACAAGAAGAATTTTTTAAACACAAAGTAGTTACTCTCAGAGTGTAACTTTTTTAAAGAAATATGCAAAACATATTTCAATATATGTAAAAAGTATCTTTTAGATAAATGAAGATCTTATTGCCTCTTTTCTTATAACAAAATAGAGGTGTGAATTTGAATGTGCAGAAACCTGATTTTCAATCAGTGATAAAAATTTTCAACAATTTGATAGTAAGTCTTATAGTAAGCGGGGCTTTTAAATTTACTAAAATCACAATAGTTAAGTGCACGCCAGTGTCTCTCATAATATTGGAGAGACACTGGCGTGTCTATATTCTTATACACCTATATAACACTATCAAAAAAGATAGTGTTATATAGGTGTATAAGAATATTGGATTCAAAAATGTGTCAGTTGCACACATTTTGTAAGCTTGTTTGCACACTTTTTTAAACCTGCCGTAATTAGAATTAAAAATTCTTTTGATTTTAACCACGACAAGTTTACAATTCATTACAACTTGATAGTTACTTTTTTAATTAGTTAATGCTTTAAAGCAAAATATTTTGCAAACCCGATTATATATTTCATATATTTAGAATAAGATGTTCTAGCAAATGAAATATATACTTCTTACCTGTTTATCTATAGTGTTTTTAGTGGACAATTTACTCTATTCAAAAATCTGCTTTGTATTCTTTCTACATCATTATTTGTTACTTTGTCAAAAAAAACTACTGGAGCTACTATTACTAGATAGCTTGATGTTACTTTATATAATTAGTATATCAAAAGAAAAGAAATGCGTTAAACTGCGTAATGTTATTAATGTTGCTTTGTGAATCATTTGTTTTATGGCTAGTTTAAACATAGCTTTAATGTTTGATATTTTAATATTTGGAGTTAAAATTAATGTTTTGTGTATTTAACAAAAAAAATTCAATAACTTTAAATGGTATTTAGATAAAAACAGGGGCACCTTGTCGATCTGAAAGATTAGCAAAATACAATCAACTTCTCAGGTATATCTTATTTTTTATGTATTAATTTAATATAATAATAAATAAAAAAAACAATAAGAACTCTCTTAATCTTAATATTATTAAGATTAAAAAATATTTTCTTATTGTTTTTTTTATTTCCACAATTATTGGCGTCTTATATTGCTATATGATACATTTTGTTTTACAGAATCGAAGAAGAATTGGGTTCTTCTGCTGTATATGCTGGCAAGAAATTTCGTCATCCTCTTGCTTGAGATGCTTCAACTCTTTTCTTTTCTTTTTTGACGTCACATGTTGTTTTTTTGGCTTTTGCGTTCTCTATCAAATCTTTGATATATAACTTTTTTTAAGTTGACATAAAATTTTCTTGTTATAAATGAATCTTATCTAACTGATTGTAGCTATTTTCTGAATTATAAAAACAAATATAAGTTAAACAAAATTTCATATATATCTTTAGACCGGGTTTAATTAGACTGTAAAACCACCTTATGAAATCAGATCGCCCTAGAGGTCAAGATTAGATCTAAACCGCTTAAAGCGGGTTAGGGTCTCTTTGAAAGACACTTATGTACATGAGTTTTACAGCGTTTTTACTAAACTAAAACTCAATAGACCCTATGTCTTGTAAGTTTTGGTTATCATGGCTGAAGTTGTTGTTATGGAGTAAAGTGAAATAGTTAAGATTTAAATTATTTCAAGAAAAATTGTATTATTAAAATATCTAAATAATTGAAAAAAACTTTAATGGCGACAAATAAAGTACTTAAGATTTTTTTTTTATGTTATTTATGTTGTAGATAAATTTAAACTTTCAATATATATAAATCAAATAAAGAAATTTATTTTCGTTTTTTAAGAAATTGTTTTTAATAAAACCAAGAACTAGTTCATATTACATTAGAGAGAATAAAATAAGTCGATGGGTAAATAAAGTAATACTTGGTTAAAAGAAACAACTAATAAGAAAATTTAAAATTTTTGTTTAGATTATGCCGAGGCAACGAAACCTTAGGGTGGCTGAGTTAAGTTATTGCTTGTGCCGCTCTTTTTGGTGTATTTAAGCTTAATGCCTTTTATTACAAATTACTTTAGTACGCATGTTCGAAAAGTTCAAGTTTTGCATTTTAATGGATCGTTCCCTCTATAGAGAAAAACCGCAATGCATTTTGGTCTTTGTATTCACCGAAAATAAACAAATTAGAGTTAAAACTTTAAAACAAGCAGTCAAGTAATTTAATTTAAAAAGACTTTTCAAAATGATTTCAAATAATATAATATCTTGTGATAAACTAATAACTCATTCTATTAAAGAAAATATTACTGTTGATTCAACAACAACAACAAAATACCGTGGTGGCATAACTTGATGTGTTCCATTATGCAACAATAATTATTGTCATTTTAAAAATGTTAATGTTTTGTTTTTGAGCGAATTATTATAATTCGCTCAAAAAACAAAACATTAACATTTTTAAAATGTAAAATGATTTTACATCATCCCAAAGGAAAGTAATTTGAGAAAAAAATGTTTATTTAATAAAAAATCTTTAATTAGTAGGAAAAACTTTATTCCTTCTATTTCTCATCGGGTTTGTTCAGTCCACTTTACAGGAGGAAAAAAGACTTATATGAACAACTGTCCATCTAAACTGCCAAAACAAGTTAAAGACAGCATAAAAAAACCAAGAATCACAGTAAAGAGTTCTATTGGTTATAAAAAAAAAATAGACGAAAATGAAAACGAAAAAAATGATGTTAATTTTTCATTCGAAGAAACGCCTGAAAAGTTAAAAAAGGCAATTATTATCCTAAAGGACAAACTAAACATTATAAAAACTAAAAAGAAATAAATAAAAAATATTATTATGAACCAAAATCACTCTATCAATCAATTAAATTTTACAGTTGACAGATTGAAACATAATCACCCCCACATTAAATTTTATATTGACTTTGAATCATACAATCTATTTAAAGTTCCACTAAAATATTTAGAACCTGCTGCAAGCAAACTTATATATTCGAGGTCAGATACAAACATTGAAAAAACAACAGATTTTAAACAGATTTAACTTTTTTCAGATAAATAAAATGTTTGTAAAAAATATAAAAACTTTTAATCTAAACTGCAAATATATTTTCTTGCATAAACTCGCATAAGTAAAATTTATTAATTTTGGTAAAGTAGTTTTTTCCCATTGCTCTTTAAGAAATTTAATACTCTCAATAAAAACATCTTTTTCAGTATAAAATAAAAAAATCTGGTTATTTAATCTATAGTAATGCCATAACACCTTAACATTGATAAAAATAAGCATGATTTTGTTTAAGCATTGTTTTGCCATCAACAACAGCAAGAAAAAATGTTTAAGCTAGGCAAGTTTCAGCTATAGGTAAATCTTTTTATGAATAAGGACATTTGATTTCAATAGCCCTTATTTTTTACTAATACAATTCCATTAGGGCTAAAACCAAGCCAAGGCCATTTTGGGTTAATGATAAATCTGCATCTTGTTACTGATAAATTTTTTATATTTTCATACTTTTTTATTGCATTGTTTTCATTTTTTTTTACCCCAATTACAAGCTTTGTTGCAAAAGTTATTTTTATTGTTTTTCAAAATTCTATTCAAAATAGAGGTAGGAAATATATTATTTTGTCTATTAATAACAAAACCAAATGTCAAGCATTTTTTTCTTTCTGCAAGCCAACTTGTAGATTGTGATAAAGTAGCTCTTTTCAAAGTCTTTATTTTCTCTTTTGATAGAACTAAATATTTTGAAATAAACATTAACTGAGTTTTATCAAATTTAAATGAGTCACTGAATTCTACTTCAAATCCATTAATTATGGTATCAACTAGATTAAATATAATAACAGAATTTAAATCCAGTTCTTTTAGTTGATATTTAGATATTTTTTTTTAGTTGATATTTAGATATTTTTTTTTCATAGTAGGACATGGAATGATAATTGTTTTCTTTTAAAAGATTTCAAAATGCTATTCCTTCTCCCAGATTATATAAACTATCAGAAAGTTTTTTAATATTCATCGTTTTTCAATTAATTTCATCGTTTGAAAAATTGGGGTTGCACAAAGGTTTCTAATTCCTGATACATAAGGACGCTTTCGTGACTAGTTTAGATACTTTTCTAAATGGCGGACTTGTAAACGGCGCACCCCTCTAAATTTAAAACACGTTTTTTTGAAAATGATATTTAACTGACCTAGTAAAACTAATTAATTAAATTAATTAAAGTGTAATTATATCGATTGATCATAAGTAATGAATAGAATTAATTATAAATGCTTTGACAAACCATTAGGGATTGACACAACGAAATATCCATTTATTAATTGGCCGTAAGAATTGGGACAGTTTTGGTCACGATTATTAGTGTTTCACTGGGGTGCGTTGTTTAGAAGTCCGCCTTTTAAATTACTCTTGTCAAAGGAAACTTTAGACAGTTTACTTAGTGTTTTATTGAATGGTACAGAGTTTAAATTTAACTATTATAAGAAAAGAATTTATTTCAATGTTGACATTAGGTTTACTAACTGATTTTTTAATGAAGTTCTCCTTAAATAGCTGATACTCAGAGATTTTATGCTTTGAATAATTATTGTCTACAATTAAGTACTTGTGTATTTTTTCTTGGCTTATATTAGGTAGTAAGGAAAAACATCTTGATCAAAAGCTTATTTGTTCCTGTACAACTTCTTCAGCATCTATTTGATTAAACTGACTAGATATTTCTCGAAATACTGGTTGAATAGCGATTTAAATGTTTTCAAAAAAACATGGATCAATATAAATATCATTTGAATCATGTTCCAAACTAATTTTATAGCTATTAACTTTGTTTATTGCTGATATGATAATATGTTTTGATAATTTGTTTATTTTTGGTGAATACAAAGACCAAAATGCACTGCAGTTTTTTTCTATAGAGGGAACGGTCCATTTTTAGCACTGACACCATTCGTCATTTTGACCTTTCGAATTGAATTTTCGGTTAAAATTTCACGGCAATTTTTGCACTGATTTGTTATTGTTCAAAGTTGAGCATATGTTGTTTCCTAGATGCATTTTTTCTGTTAGTATCTTTCGGTCTCTTTTATCCGGATTTCAGATTAATTGGGACCTCCTTTAAACGTTTCAAAGTGCTAATAATTGGACCAGTTGCAGTTGTTTTCCCACTTCTTTTTGAGTAGCCTAGGTTACTTTAATATGTACCCATTTATCTTAATAAAAATGGGGAAAAACTTCAAGGCTAATGTTATACTACATATGTTGGTGCATAATCAAAACGTGGTAGCTGAGATGAAGCTGCTAGCGATGGTGGTGGTATTGGTTGAACACGATAAAATTCAGCATCTTTTATTGTTAGTAACGCGAAAACTAATTCACAGATTTTTTTATTTTTTTGACACAATTAAGTGTTTAAATTATTTTTTTGACACAATTATTTATTAAATTATTTTTTTGACACAATTATTTATTTCAATAGTTTTTTACATTTTTTTATATCGGACATTTGGAAAGATCCAGCAGATGATTTTAAGTACTCGAAATCTTTGCGAGTACTTGACATCATCTGCTGGATCTTTTTTTGAGGCGGCTTAAAATCTTTTAAATTTGCAGGTAATTTTTTGTTTTTCAATAAGATTCCTTTTATAATTGACCAATAACTTTCAATAACTCGCTACTCAGAACAACATGGATGATTTGCTTCCTAAAATATGAATGCTTGTATTTCTTTGGTCAGTTAAAATATAATTTATTTAAAAACATTCTTATAATAAGTAACCTAATCACTTCAAAGAATAAAAATTGTTTTCCCTTAAATATCTTCTCTAAATGAATAAATTGGCTGTGTATCTTACTGTATCGAGTATATACTTTGTATCATATTCAACTTTTTCAGACAGATTAGAAATTGCTATTTTTTTATTTCATTTTCCTTTGTCTTTAAAAGGCAATGTATGTTGCCCTTTCTTTAGTTTTGACGTTTCTTATACGTTTGAGAGTTTTCAGATAAGTTCTTAAAATTCATGTTCTAATCAGGAAATTGCCTTTTTTATTTTATTTTATTTAATTTAGGTGCCTCAAGAATTCTTTACGGTCTTATCACAGAGCACCGCGGATGAGCATTTAATTGAAAGTTCACGCCTCCTTCCTAACCGATGTTGCATAACTTGCCCAGAAGTGGGGTTTGAGGTTTAGTATGAACATAAGGTTAATTGAATGTTTTGTGCACGCACGTGCAATACTGAGAAGTTTTACTACTTGAGTCCGAGTTGCGATTTTGTTTAACGACTCCGACTCCGACTCCGCTAAAAATGTCACAACTCCGCAACTCCGACTCCGA